AGAATTGACGATGGATGCTTCTAATAATACAAGTGATGTTTACATGAACGAAGATGGAAGGGATGATATGGTGAATGCTCATCAAGACACAGAAAATGATATTAACATGGAGAAAGAAGTTAATTTAGAAGAGAATATAAGAAAGTTGGAAGCAGGAATGACGTTTGATACGATTGATGAATTATTTGAATATTACGTTAATTATGGCAACGAAAATGGGTTTCCAGTGAAGAGGATGTCTTCAAAGAAGGGAGAATATGGAGAGGTTCGATATGTTTCTTTTGCATGCTCGCGATCAGGCAAAACAGAGAGCACATCAAGAAATGCCTTCAAATTGCATCCTATTACAAAAACCGGCTGCGATGCTAAAATTAATGCAAGTTTATTCCCATGTGGAAAATGGAAGATAACATCTGTATCCCTTGACCACAATCATGAGCTAAGTCCAGGAAAATCACGATATTACAAGAAGAATCGTACACTAAGGCCATTTGTGAAGCGAAGACTTGAGATGAATGATCGAGCAGGTATCAAACCAAGCAAAAACTTCAATTCGTTTGTAGTGGAAGCGGGTGGACATGAGAATGTGCCATTTCTAGAAAAAGATTGTCATAATTATCTTGGAAAAGTAAGACGATTAAGACTAGGAGAGGGTGATGCTGCAGCAATTCAAAATTATTTCATGAAGATGCAAGCAAATAATTCGAATTTCTACTCTCTGATGGATTTGGATAGCGAAGGTAGGTTGAAAAACATCTTTTGGGCTGATCCAAGGAGCAGGGCAGCGTATGAAGAGTTTGGTGATGTCATCACATTTGACACAACTTACTTAACTAATAAATACGATATGCCATTTGCCCCATTTGTTGGAGTCAATCATCATGGTCAATCGATACTATTAGGTTGTGCACTTCTATCAAACGAGAATACTGCGACTTTTACTTGGGTTTTTCGGACTTGGCTTGATTGTATGGGTGGTCGTGCTCCAAATGCCATTATTACGGACCAAGACAGAGCTATGCAAAATGCTATTGCAGAAGTCTTTCCTAACATACGGCATAGGTGGTGTTTATGGCATATATTGAAAAAGGTACCAGAAAAATTAGGGAGTTACAAAGAATATGAATCGATCAAGTCTTCATTACATAATGTAGTTTATGATTCTTTGACAATCGATGGATTTGAGGAAAGTTGGAATAACTTCTTAATTAAGTACGAACTTTCAGAAAATGACTGGTTGATTGGTTTATATAATGAGAGGCGTCGTTGGGTTCCTGTTTTTGTGAAAGATATTTTTTGGGCAGGAATGTCTACCACTCAAAGAAGCGAGAGCATGAACGCATTTTTTGATGGTTATGTCAATTCAAAGACTACCTTAAAGCAATTCGTTGAACAATACGAGAATGCATTACGAAATAAGGCAGAAAAAGAAAACCAAGAAGATTTTAATTCATTCAACTCGTGGCTCCCATGCATTACTCATTATAAAATAGAAAAGCAATTTCAGGATATGTACACGACTGCAAAGTTTAGGGAGTTTCGAAATGAGCTAACAGGAAAACTATATTGTAATGTGACTTCAGTTAGAGAGGATAATGGTTTTATGGTGTATGAAATTTTGGAAGATATGATTGGGGGGAAAGACCGACAAGCGACTTTTACTGTTTGTTTTGATCCTAGTGAATGTGATATCAAGTGCAATTGTCGTTTATTTGAATTTAGAGGGATCTTATGTAGACATAGTATTGTTGTTTTGATTCAACACAAGGTGCAAAATGTATCTGAAAAATACATTGTTCGGAGGTGGAGGAAAAATTTAAAGCGAACTCACACAAAGGTTAAAGTAACATACTTTGATTGGATGCAAAAACCTGAAAATGAACGTTTCGACAAGATGTGCAATGCTTTTTATCAAGCTGCAGACTTGGCAACTGATGGTGATGATAAAACAAGACTGGTTATGGATTGGATTAAGAGGTTGACTAATGAATTGAGTGAAGGTGGAAATTCAAGTGGAAATAAGGAGCTTACTTCTATTCCAGTTAGCAAACCCTATACTTCCTCAAATGGGGGTATTAATCATACTGGTAATGAAAATGGCATTATTCGTAGCCCGTTGGCAGCCAATAGGAAAGGTCGTCCACCTGAGACAAGGAAGCAACCCATTGTCGAAAAAATTATCAAAAAAAAATCTGAAAAGAAGAAGAAGAAAGTAGAG